GTCTTCTAAAACAAAGAAAAAGAAATCGAAAAATAAGTCTAAGAAGAAGAAAAAATCCAAAAGTGGTCGAGTCCATATAGCTAGAGTAGACGAACAATTAGGATCGGATTCTTCTGATAATGATACTTCTTCATCGGAGTCTGAGGATAGCTCTTCTAGCTCTGAGAGTTCTTCTTCTGAATCAGAGTCTGAGGCTGAGGCCGATGCTGAAATTAATGTTAATATATCTCGGGTAAAAAAAAAGTGAAGAAAGACTTGAGTAATTCTTCTCCTCTACCAAAAAAGAAGAAATCAAGGGGTCGCAAGGTTCGCTTAAGCGAACAAGATATAGAAACTCCTCCTTTAGCATTGATTCCTATCTCTAAGAAGGAAAAGCGAAGTTCAGAGTCCCCGTCACAGGATGAACAATCCCGCCTAGAAAAAAGTATTGAGAAAATTATTGAGAAGGTGCTTAATGAAAAGTTTGGCACTATCACTACTCTCCTTCACCCACAAAATGGCGATTCTAAAACACTGGCCGATTCTGAGGATGATGAGTTCATCAATGACCCCATGGAAATAGATTTCGTTCAGAGAAAAGAACCTGCCACAGATGTTGTCACCGTTAAATGTAAAATTAAGCGCCTAGTAATTCCGGCAGGTACAGTTGATCCTGGTGCTAATTTCCCGATCATGTCTGAGGATATATCTAAACGATCAAAGCTAGAAATTGATACAAAGGAAAAACACGATCTCAGAGGCATTGCTACTACACCCACAGAGTCGCTTGGTATTGTTAGAAATGTCCCAGTAAATTTTGCTCCCGGATGTACTATATATGCTGATTTTGCTGTAGTTAAGTATCCTAAGCCAATGCTAATCTTACCCAACACGCTTCTTGATAAATATAATTATGATTTACTTGCATCAAAGCGGGAATTGAGATTAGAGTGTAATGGTAAGGAATTTTTTATCCCAATTAATATGCATAAGGTCAAAAACAAGCTTGAGGTGAATTGCGCGACCACTACTCCCGAATGTGATGATTCCTCGATTCCGGACAAAGTTTCTCAAGACTCGCAGGACTTAATCAAGGATGGTACATTAAAAAAAAAGTGAGTTATGAGGAGCTTGAAAGAATGTTATTTACCAGTATACAATTGAATTTGGAAATTATAGGGCACTATAATGATTTATGTGATTATGGGGCTAAGTCCCAGCAGTCAATTTAGATTTAAGTTCACGACCTTTCGCCCTAACCTTTTCCATTTCAATATTCGATTTCTTAATCAGCTCCATAACATCCTTAGACTCTTGCAAAATAATAAGTGGCGGGTTAGGAGATGATTTGCTAGCCAAAGGCGCCAAGGCTAAGGGATCAGATTCTTTTTTTGTTTCTATGCTTCCGCTTACTATTTCCGATGAACCATCTGAAAGATGAGTGGACTTAGAACTCAATGCTTGCTTGCGAACCTTTTTTTGTTTATCCTGCGGTTTGCTTAAACGAACAGGCTCATGAGCAACCACATTCGCTGAAGATGAATCAGAAATACTATGCTCTGCTTTTTTGTCTGTACTAAGAATTTCTGCCAATATATATTTTTTACTCTGTTGTGATCGCTCACAATTGTTCCATATATCATGGACGCGCTCTTTACGTATATGATAATCCCTTACTATCATATATGTAGGGACCTTATTTTTGAGATGTCTAATTTCTTCGATTTGCTCGGGCGTTAAATCAGTAGCACCTCGCCGATAATGAGTTTTTAAAAATGGGTCGACCATGATTCCTCCAGTAATTTTATAGCAATATTTTCATAATGATAAAAAACGATATGTAATATTTTCAAACGATGAAAAACAATAAAAAACAATAAAAAACGATAGAAAACGATAGAAAATGATAGAAAATGATTTTTATCGCTCTTGAATGATAAAAAACTATAGAAAACGATATTTATTATTTTATATTGATAAAAAATATGCCTCCCTTATACCTTTGGCACTGCGGAAGAAAGTCTAACCCTCCTCTCGATCTGATATCTACACACCCTGAAGAAAAAAAAAAGATGAATTTTTAGTACGCTTATCTTTATTTCTTGATTCATAACTAGGCCTAAATCATGAGTAATATACATACCTTGGCCGGAGGCGCTAAAGCAAAATACATTGGTTTAGGTCATCGCCTGGGTAGTGCTCGTGAAATAGAACTTGAGGATGCGTTGCGCCGTAGTATCAAATCCAATTCTGAGCTTACCAATGAATACAGAGACCTGCAGGACGTATACTCAAAGCGAGAGGAGGCGTTTCGACATACCAGTTCTGACAATAATGATAAGATTAGCCAGCTAAATGCCGAAAACAAATCGTTCAAATCGAATATTAAAACACTAAAGAGAGAGCTAACTTTGGCCCGAAAAGCTTCGTCCGTTGACAAGGTCGAGATTCTTTCTCTTGAAACTAAAATACGTGATTTGGAAGGTAAGTTGGAGGACATTGATCTAGAGCGTACATATCACGATTTGGATGTAATGGGAGGGGAGCCGGCCCAAATAAGCTCATCCAATCCTAAAGAGATTGATTCTCTCAAGCTTGAATTGGAACGAGCAAAGGAGGACTGTAATTCGAAAGAATATACAATAGAATGTATGGAAAAAGGGATAGAAGCGACACATGAGATAACCAGTCGGGAAATAGATGCTTTGAGAAAGGCGCGATTAAATTCAATGGAGGAAAATTCTCATCTCTGAGAGATAATCTCAAAGAAAGATAATGAAATAGCAGATCTTTCTAATCTCCCACCTCCGCCTATGAACAATTCATCGCAAAAGCTACCAGGTTGGCTCAGTGACGATTTAAGACCCCTCGTCTATGAGCGTGGTCTTGAAAATAAAGTTATGGAACTCGATAAAAGTTTTGCCAGAGAAAATATATTAGAGGCTTTGCAAGAGCTATTACCCCGGGATGAGATGGTTTCGAAAAGCCAGACAGATACCCTACCCAATCAATCCGTCCATAGCCGACCAGCATATTCCAAAAAGTTTATTTCGAGAGAAGGTGGCGCAGAAGCAGTACCGTTATCCCAAGAAATGCCTCTAGCACCAGTGACTGTTCCTGTCGTTACGAGTTTTCTAATGTCACCGATGGTAATATATTCCATACTTGCTTTACTACTGATTGTGGTTATATGGCTTGTGGTCAGGAAATGCTGGAATTCATGGAAAAAAAGTAATACTGAGTATTCTCCTAACCGGAACTATTTTTTATCATCTTCAGGCATTTCCGAGGTCGGGCTGTATGATCGGAGGCCGGAAGATCGAAGATAGAAATTGAAGTTAGCCGGTATTATTGCACGAGAAAAAATATGTAAATAATATTATGCGAAGCGTCTTACGACTAAGTTTTCTTAGCTGAAATTGCCACATCCCGCTAAGAGTACTTACCCATATAATTTGATGATCTCGTCTATATCTGCTTCGGACGTACCTAGAAAGTTTATTGCAAACCTTTTATATATCTTTTAAGCCAGTTTTTTGCCTTTCTCTGGGAATAATCATCGA